TTTCTTTCACTTTCCTCCCCAGGCCTAAGAAAAGTTCAGCGCTGGGTTCAGAACCACCGCCCTCTCCACATGGTGCTTCAGTCACTCCCCAGGCTCGGCTTCTCAAGGCTTCCAGGCATTTCCCTTCTGGCCTCCTCCCTACCTGGCAGCCAAGGCACACACACAGGTCTCTGCAGTCTCTTCTGTGCTGATCTTTCTGTTGCTCTATCTGCAGATCTGTAGGTCTGTCCTGTATCTGTGTCCTTCTGGTTCTCTCTCTCTCACTATCTCTTCTCCTAGTCTCTTCTGCAGCCCTCTCTCTGGGGCTGGTCTCTGCATGCTTCTGGGTCCCTCTGCACGCTCCCGCAGACACCTGCTAATCTTTGTCTTCTCCCTCTGTGTCTGTCCTGTCCTGGCCTTTGTCTGACTCTGCATATCTCTGGACTTGCTCTGTCTCTGACTACACTTCTCTCTACCTCTCTTTTTTCTGTTGTGTTTGTCTCTCTCTTTGGCTGCTTCAGAGAGGGGAAACAGGGCTTGGTGAAGGAATCGGGGGGCAGGGGTGCCTTTCTATTGCCCTGTTGGTTGTGTGGACGAAAGGGGCCACACGCTGATCTGACAGGCTCAGGGAAGGCCTGCATGGCGGTCTTGCAAACTCAGAGACCTAAAGTCACCACAAAGGATGGTCTGAAATTAAACTTTAACTAAAAGCAGTTATGGTGGGTAGTTACATCTTAGGCCTGTATCTTCACTGACAAGGTCAACCTTTACCTTAACTGAGCCTATCTGTCTTTTTGCATCTATAATAACATATCCTTGAAATGTCTGGGTAACTTGTAACTTCCCTTTTTCTGGACCCCTTGGGGCACAACCTAATGTGCCTGGGCACCAGGATACCACAAATTTCTTCAGTGTTATTGTTATCATGTTAATTGTTGACTGTTAACTACCCTGTACCCACCTAAGTATGTGTCTATCATTTTACTTTTTATCCAATCCCAGAGGTTTCCCCACTTTGCTTTCTCCCACCTCTCTCTATCACCAATGGATTTCATGTAACCCACCTATGTCCCCTCCTTTGATTGCAATATATAAAAATAGATGAAAAAACTGCCATTCTCTGGAGCACTATCCCAATCTGTTGAGATACTGCTTCCCGGCAATTGTCGACAGTTTGGCTCAAATAAACTCACAAAAATTCTTTACAGGTTTGAATGTTTTTACGTTAACAGTCGCTATATCTCATAAGGCCCCCTGCCTCCAGCTGAGTAAACAGCGTCCCTTCCTGTCCCTCCCGCAATTCCCTCATTCATTCCACACACTCTCACATGTGCCAGGCTCTGGGTAAGGAACCCGAGCCCCCAATACACCCCTTTTGGCTCAACAGCTGCACCCTCCACATTGAGAATGTGGCCCCCATATGCCCTCCCGATACCCCTTTCTTACTTTGTCCGGACTTACCTATCCTGGGTCCCATGACTGTGTGGGGTGCAGTCAGTTCCAGCCCCTATTTCAACCCCAGGACTGGAGTTTAGCAGGAACGAGGGAATGAGCTCTTATCAGGGACTCCCAGAGACAAGTCTCAAGCCACAGCAGGCGCGTGCTAAGGTGGGGCCTCCAGGCACCAGCCGATGCTTCTTCGATCACAAGGCAGCTACCTTTTCCAGGTAGGGCTAAGGAAGTCCTGCTCAAACTTGACCCCACTCTCCAAGTACCTGTCTGCCTTGATCACTTGTTTCTTCTGTCTCTCTCTGCTCCAGCCCCTGGCTTACAAACTCACAATCTCTCTGTCTCTCTCTCTGAATTCCTCTGATCTCTGCCTGGGGCAGCCCAGGGCCAGTGGTGTAGGAGGCTGGGTTTGTTTAGATCCAGCCCCACTGATGGGAGGAGGCTGCTGTCAGCCTGCTTCTCCCAAGCCTCTTGCCTCAGCATTTCCCTTGGATATTTTTTCTTCCTCTGTTAGCAGTGGAGAGGTGGGGCCAATGGGAGTGTCCCCAAGCCCTGTGGTCATTCAGTCCTGATTCTTCTCACTGTGCTTCCTGACCACTAAGCTCTTGTCCCCCTCACTGAGCTTCCCAGTGCACAAATTTTGTGCACCTGGCCTCTAGTTGGAAATAATCACAGATTGGCCTGGCCCATAGTTGGAACTATGAGTCCTCACTGAGATTGGTAGAGGTGCAACTTTCCTGATTCCAAATGGAAGGTGTATGGTTGAGAGAAGGAAGTTTCCTTTAGACTTTCTGGAAGCCCAGTTGCTTGGCTCTGGGGATGAAGAAATTATGCACATGGATTGGTCTGGGTATGTGCTGGGGATGCTGTAGGCAGTTAGACAGACATGAGCAGAGCAAGGATGTTGGGCCAGGTACAGAAGTTCACCAGGGATATTTTTTCTTCCTCTGTTAGCAGTGGAGAGGTGGGGCCAATGGGAGTGTCCCCAAGCCCTGTGGTCATTCAGTCCTGATTCTTCTCACTGTGCTTCCTGACCACTAAGCTCTTGTCCCCCTCACTGAGCTTCTGTTACTGTTCATGAGCCCCATAGAGAGCCTGTTTCCCCACTGTCCTCCTTCACCGAACCCTGTCCTCCTCAAGCTCTGGTTCTCTCTCACGGAACCCCCATCTCCTCTCTGAGTTCCAAGGATTTAGAGCAAGGAGGGACTCTGTCCATTGGGAATTGCAATGGCCAGCCCACCTGGTAGGGACTCACAGTAGCAGCTCCATAAAGCATGGCCCTCTCGATGGGGGGGGGGGGGGGGGGGGGGGAAGGGGGCGGAGAGGAAGAGCAGGAGGACAACTATGAAATTTCCACAGTTTCCTGAACTGAGGCTGAGGATGGAGGACTTGGAGCTAGACAGACCTGAGTCTCATCTCATCCCTGTCAATCATTGGTCAAGTGGCCTTAGGCAACTCTGCACCTCTCTGAGCATGTTCTTTCATCTATAAAGAAGGGACAATATTCCTCACTTGCAGGGCTGCTGTGAAAGTTTAGTGAGCAAGAAAGTTCAGGACTTCCAAGTCTGAAGTCCTGGAGCTCAGAGAAGGGAGCAGCAGAGGTGGCTCAGAACCAGGCAGCATGAGAGAAAGCTAATCCACCTCAGCATTTTCACACATGCAGCCCCCTCCGGCCCTCCTATTGACTTGTAGGCCAGGAATTTATTCCCTCAGGATACAGATGAGGCATTGAGTCTCTGGATCTGCCCAGAGGTCACGGAACTAATAAGTGAACCTGACTCAGTTCCAGAAATAAAGTCTTTGCATGAAACAGGAATGTGGGTTTGGAGTCTAACTTTCAGGGTGTAATGATTGAGAAATATCATCAGTGCCACTTGGCTCCTAGTGGCTGTATGAGGATGTTAGGAGGAAGTGAGGAGTATCCTATATAATAAAAGGCTAATATGCAAATCAACCAAACAGCAGAACGACCGGTAGCTATGACGCACACTGACCACCAGGGGGCAGACGCTCAAAGCAGGAGCCAGGATGAAGAAATTATGCACATGGATTGGTCTGGGTATGTGCTGGGGATGCTGTAGGCAGTTAGACAGACATGAGCAGAGCCAGGCTCAGCGCTAAGGATGTCTGACTGCTGGCTTAGACCTGATCCCCAAGGGGAACTGGCCTAAGCCGTCAGTCAGACATCCCCTAGACATTGGGCCAGGTACAGAAGTTCACCAGGACGGGAAGCCCCAGATGCCTAACAATGGACAATCAATTGTAGGAGGAGACCTCACCCCCCTACACCCTAGGGTGACTTTTCCTCCCCCAGCATATCTCTGGTCATGAGGTTTAGACCCCCTGACCTTTCCTCCCTAGAGATAAAAACTATGCCTCAATTGTATTTCTGCTCTACACCCAGATAACCAATAAAACCAGACCAGCGACTCTATGGCTGCCCTCAGGACCAGCTGCATTGAATAATGACCCCCTCCCCTGGCGGTGACCAATCAATGAGTGGAGACCACAACCCCGAAAGGACACACCTGGGAAACTACTGAATATTCTATTAACATTGCGGATGGATCACGAGAATTCTCGCTTCATATTACACAGTGTTTTACAAAGTATCATACTTTAAAAAGATATTAGCTTGTAAGAACATGTAATAAATAACTTCAAAATGCAATGGGTATTTACTTTTAAAGCGTGCCTTTAACATTTATGTAAAACGTGTTTTGTACTCGTTCAATAGAAACTTATCTGGCCACTCCCACTGTCCTCCTTCACCGAACCCCTGTCCTCCTCAAGCTCTGGTTCCCTCTCACTGAACTCCTGTCTCCTCTCCGAGTTCCATGGATTTAGAGCAAGGAGGGACTCTGTCCATTGGGAATTGCAATGGCCAGCCCACCTAGTAGGGACTCACAGTAGCAGCTCCATAAAGCATGGCCCTCTCGATGGGGGGGGGGCTCCTGCCTGTCTCCCATCCATGTCCTCAGGACCAGCTGCATTGAATAATGACCCCCTCCCCTGGCGGTGACCAATCAATGAGTGGAGACCACAACCCCGAAAGGACACACCTGGGAAACTACTGAATATTCTATTAACATTGCGGATGGATCACGAGAATTCTCGCTTCATATTACACAGCAGGCCTCTAGTTGGAAATAATCACAGATTGGCCTAGCCCATAGTTGGAACTGTGAGTCCTCACTGAGATTGGTGGAGGTGCAACTTTCCTGATTCCAAATGGAAGGTGCATGGTTGAGAGAAGGAAGGTTCCTTTCCAGTGGTTCTCAACCTTGGCTGCACATTTGAATCACCTGGGAATCTTTTTAAAATCCTGATTTCTGGGCCTCATCCTCGCAATAAAACTACTGGTCGAAGATGTGTTGAGATCTTCCCCTGGGACCTTCCCTAAACTCTCCAGCCTTAAACCCTTAGGAAGGAGGACCAGTGCGCTCTCCCTCCAGGGAGCACGCTTGAGCCTTTTCCTTCCCTTTACCTTTCCCTTTCCCCGCCCCCTCCCCAGGCGAGTTAGCATTAGCTTCCTCACTCCCAAGCTCCAAGGGCCCTTCTTTTACCTTCAGAACTTGTTTGCTAAGCTCATTTCTTCTAGGAATGACTTTCTCTATCTCTGTGATTTACCCAGTAAATGTTCTCTTACAGTTTGTGTCTGGACTTTGAATTCTTTCCTAGCCCGAACCCAAGTAATGAGGTTGCGGAACCCAGGTTTGGTCTGAGCCCCACCAGTCAGACACATGGTGCCATTCCCTCCTACAACAGGACTAACTTGCCTGATAAAGTTCACCTCAATGCATAGCACCCCAAGGGGCATGGAAGACGCAGGAACAGTCTTCATTTATCACCTCAGCCTCCCCATGCTGACACAGCCTGGTCCAAGAGTAATCCTGAACTTACTTGTGGACTTGGAGCAAGGGTCAGGTACCCGGGGCCTCTGGGAGTTATGCTGACAAGCCCTCAAATAGCTTTGGGCTAATCCTGCATTGAGGCCCCACTGTGGGAGGCCCAGGCTGAGGTCTGACCAACGTGTTTGCACTCCAGCTTTGCCACTTGCCAATGTGGTGTTTGCTGAGCCCTGTGCAACTTCACAGAGCCCCACGACATGTGCGGATTGCAACACCACCTGCGAATTCCCCGGTTTGCAAACTTGCTGCCTTTTTTGAGTCCTGTGCTGTTGGCAAAGCCTGGCACAGTTTGCAGCCTCCAGGGCCCCATGACATTCGCACAGTCCCGTGTCCTCGTGCCGAGCCTGCCGCTGTTCATAAAACCTCAGTGTGTTTGCAGAACCCAAGCCCTTCCACTCTTTGTATCAACCCATGTAGGAAAATGTGTTGTTTTTTTGGTGTTTTTTTTTTGTTGTTTTTTTTTTGCAAACCAGGCATAATAGGAGACTTCATTTTCTAGAACTCACTAAGCTTGGGTACAAGGGAAGAATCCTGGGCTCCAGGCTCAAGACCTCAATTCTGGTCCCAGCTCTGTCACTGCCTTGCAGTGGCACTTTGAGCAAGTCCTTTCTCCTCTCGAAGTCTCAGTCTTCGCCTCTGTTTAATGGAGATTGTGAGGTCAAGATGCCGACCTTCTGAACTGTTATGAGAATCGCTGCGAGGATGCCCAGAAGATGGGGGTGGGGGCAGGAGGAAGAGTGGCCAGAGACTCCTTCCCGAAAAGGTTCCAAACTGCCCGCTCAGCACCTTCGCTCCCACTTCCCCCTGGCCTGGCAGCCAGGGAGCGGATATCTATAAATGAGCCCTTGTCTGAGCAGACAAGTGAGAGCCTCAGCCAGAGCCTCAGCCTTCCCCACCCCCAGGTGCTGCCTGGGGGGTCAGAACCCAAGCTGTGTAGACATGCCCCCATGCATGGCTCTTTAAATCCGTCCAAGGAAGGCAAAATCATAGTTATTTCACCCATGAGGACTCTGACACTCAGAGACGCCATGTGACTTGCCCAGGGCTACATGTCAGGTATACATTCAAGCAGAGGTTGGGATCTGAGGCAAGGACAGCAAAGATGGATGCATGACACTCAGGAGGTCAGAGCTGGAAGGAACTTCAAGTTCATTTAATTCCCTTTTTGAGATTGGGAGACTGAGGGCTGAGGAGAGGCAGGCTCTGCTGTACGTGTCGTGACTGTCTGTCCTTAGGTTTCAATTTCTCTCTGTGGTGGACGAGAAGCAGACCACATCCTGCCAATACTTCAGGACTTCTCCCTCTTCGTTGGCACACCTCTTGGGTCAGAACCCAGGAAATTTCCCAACCCTGTGAGGAGAAGCTCAGGTTGGCAGGCAGATGGGTATCTGGCCTGGCTCCGCAGCCCCACCACCTTGGCTCAGCACAGCCAGCCCTGCACATCTTAAACCCCTCCGGGAGGTTCCTCCTCAGGAAGCCCTTTTGCCCAACTGCCTCTACTTCCCACCAACCTCTCCCTCCAGCCTAGGGAGAATGCATACCATGCTAGAAGCTCTGCACCCCTCCCTGAAAGTGGCAGCCCTATGCCCCAGAAATAGCCTGAGCTTTTCCGTCAGATAGTTCAATCCTAACCCTGTAAGAAGATCTGAGACTCAGTTTCCCCATCTGTAAAATGGAGGTGACAGGAAACCTCCTGGCAGAACTGCACTAAATTCCGTCATCTCGCCCTATCTTCTACTTCAGTGGTTCTCAACCTTCCTAATACAGTTCCTCATGTTGTGGTGACCCCCAATTTCATTGTTACAAATTGAACATAGTTAAAGCATAGTGATTAATCACAAAAACAATATGTAATTATATGTGTGTTTTCCGATGGTCTTAGGCGACCCCTATGAAAGGGTCGTTCGACCCCCAAAGGGTCGCGACCCACAGGTTGAGAACCGCTGTTCTACTTGGTTTGTGCATAGCTTCTCTCTCCCAGGAGAGTGTAAACTCCCCCGAGGCCTCGCTGGGTAACCCGAGGCTGGTTACTTGCCCTTTCTGATCCTCAGTGGCCTTGTCTGTGAAATACCTTCCCATGGCTGCCATGAGGCTCAGATGAGCTGATGGATGGATTAGTCCTGGCTAAGTTCTGGAGAGCTGAGCAAACACGAGCCATTGTTCATATGGGGATGATGGCAATGGCAGTGACTTGTAATTCTGGAAGCAGAGGAAAGAGAGAAGTAAATCGGGTGCGTGCCAGGTGGGTCTGACCTAACTGACAATCCCATGAAAATAAGTCATAGGAAAAGGCACCCTGAGGTGGGAGGGAGCTGAAGGGCAAGTTTGGGTCCAGCAGGCAGGTTGGGTAGTAGCAGGCCACTGTTAGCAGCTATTGTTCTGTGGGTGCCACAGGGTGGCCCCTCTCACAAGGTCCAGACACAGCCCCGGCTCTGCCACCAACACATTGGCATTGGTCAGGTTCCACTTCCTGCCTGGTCCTCAGTTTCCTTATTATGAAATTCGTGGGGGAGTAAGAGGAAAGGTCTCATGTGCTCCATCCCTGCCTTTGGGAGGGACTGTGGGAGGTTGGCGTTTGTCAAGTGTCACGTTCGGGGCGTGAGGGATTACAGTAATTAGTAATTAAGCTCCTGGGAGAGAGGGCATGGGGACGGGGATGCTGGGAAGGCTGGGAGAGAAGACAGGGAGCAAGCATATGCCCCTGGCTGCAGGTAGTTTGGAGCAAGAGCCCCAACTTCCTGAAGACTTTGCAACACTGCCCCCTGGGGGCCATAGAAGAGATTTGTGCTCGGGTTTTTTCTGCAAGATGACAACCAGGGAAAGGGGGCTGGAAGGACTCCTGTCCGAAGAGGCTGAAATGGATAGGCCAGAAGCAGCTCCGGAAGAGCAATCACTGCCTGTTCCTCACTCTCCCTCCCCTCCACACAGTCTGTTCCTCTTCATGTCTCTCAAAACAGCCCACTTCCTCCCACCACCAGCAGCTCTGGCGGGGCCATGCCCCAGCCTCCTCTCCGCCTCTGGTCTTACCTTCCAGCCCATCTTCTTGGGAACCAGAAGAAACTTTCCAAGCATTAAATCTAATCATACCCTCCTCCCTGCTTAAAACCCTGTCCCTGCCCCTGACCCGGGCCCTCAGGATAACCCCATCTTTCTAAGCCTGATCTAGAGAGCCCTTGTCCCTCTGTCACTGTCTTCTGCAAGCTCAGTGTCGTCACATGCAAGTGAAATGAAATAGTGGGTGGCCAAGAACCAGGCTTTGGGACTGGACCCTGAGGGTGCAACTCCTGGCTTCTCCACGTGGGAGCTATGCTACTTAATTCTCTGTAGGTATTTTTGTTGTGGTACCTGCCCATAACACCAAATTTATCCATTATAACATTTTAAGTATACAGTTCAGTGGCATTAAGTGCATTCACATTGTTGTGCAACCATCACCACCATCCCTCTCCAGAAATTCTTCGTCTCCCCAAACTGAAACTCCATATCCATGTGTTACTTCATTCTTTATGCCTCTGTTTTCTCACCTGTAGGATGGGGCTAAAAAATGGACATGCTTGGCACAGTGCCTGATAGGTAGCTGCTCAACAATTAGTACTCTAATTTTTTCTATTTCTTTATCTTTAACAGACAAAATAGACTTTTTTTTAACCTTTTTATTGAATTTATATAGAATTATATAGGTCTCGGGTGTACAATTCTATCATGCATTATCTGTATATTGTATTGTATGTTTACCACCCCAAGTCAAGTCTCCTTCCATCACCATTTATCCCCCTATACTGTCTTTTACCTCCCTTTCCCTCTGGTCATCATCATACTGTGGTCTGTGTCTATGAGTTTTTTGTTTGTTTGTTTGTTTGCTCTTTTACCTCCCTTTCCCTCTGGTCATCACCATACTGTGGTCTGTGTCTATGCGTTTTTGTTTGTTTTTTGCTTAATCCCTTCACCCTTTTCACCCAGTTTGCTTGATCCCTTCACCCTTTTCACCCAGGAAACTGCCCTGGAAAGGAAGTGAAGCAGCACGCGTGGGTTATCTAACAAAATCCAAAGGCCAGTCCCGCCCATCACTGGGCCACCAAGACCACCAAGCAGACCCTCGCTGACATGGCTGTCTTGGCTGGTACGTCCTGCGGCCACCACAGCAGCCCCTCTCTGAAGAACGCGGCCGTCCTCGGCCCAGGGTATTGCAGGCAACAGGGATCTTCCAACTGGGCACCAAGGCTTGCCCCTGTGCCACCTCTTCCTAAATATGGAGGAAAGGTTTGTCAGGGGCTGATCCCTGAGGAATTCTTCCAGTTCCTTCCTCCTAAAACCAGTGTAACAGGACCCTATGTGCTCAGAACTTGCTGAGCCTATATTTTCTGTTCAAAGAAATAGATGTGATTACTCCAGACACCATCTCTGCCGTACCAACAATAGGGTTGATTGTCTATGTAATTTAAAAAGATGGTACCTCGATTGGGGAATTTACTGATAAACTCAATGAGCAAGAAATGCCCAACTGCTATAGAAGAGGCGAAACAGGCTTCCGTCAAAAGCATCCAGGACGCAATTGAGCTGGAGAAGTCACAGCAGGGAGTGTTCAAAAGCACCATTACCTTTTTCATGTCCAGAGGCCTAACATTGCTATGGCCTGGAAGGGTTACTTACTGGAAACGGCTACATAGAGTTCACACGGAGGTAAAGAATCGCCTGGATTATCATATCTCCGTGCAGGACACGATGCGTCGAAAGGAACA